ATTTCTGGCAAGAATTCCAGAAATCAATTTCTTGCAAGAATTTGATTTTTGGAGCAGAATGGTTACCATTCGTACCCTTAGTTGTTTAATGCCAATCGTATGGTTAATTAGTTTAATCGTGTGGTTGATTTGCTTAATTGTGGCTGATTGGTTAACTATGGCCCGATCGTGTGGGTTGATTAATGATCGTGTGGCCGAGAACGAAGATCATGTGGCTGAAATTGATGTTTCATGATTGATCTTGTACTTGATGAATGATCGTGTGGTTTGAAAGTGGATCGTGTGGTTAATTATGGCTATTTTGGCTTAGCATGGCATATCGTGATCATATATTGATGTTTGATATCAAAATGAGTGCGATTCATAGTATATTTGTTCGTAGGAAATTGTACGTCATAAACACTCGGCATTGGCTAATTAAGAGAATACATTTTCTGCTTCTAAAACAAAATGGTAAGCTTCGTCATGTACGTCATTATGTGTTCGTAATACATGTTCATATTTTTTTACATATTTGTCTAACCTTCCTACTTGTCAGTATAAACGTGGAGGTCACATGCATAGAAGATCAGCCCCTTCCTCGTCCTCGTCCCTATCCCTTTCCTCTTCCCCTGCCCTTTCATCTAACCCTCAACTACTATATGCTGATGGATAATATGGACACGTTGGCCCGTCCTCCAACACTCAAGAACATGTTAGGGGACTTGGACACATGCGAACTGAATCTCCTTCAGTTCCATCTCCTTCAGATCCATCTCCTTCCGTTCCACCTTATTATTCAGCGCAACAATCGAATAATGAGGAAAACACAGGTGAAGAAGATAACCGATTCATGATATGCCCATTTGGAGATTCGTAAGTACTTCATTTTTTTAAGTATATGTAATATTTATGGTTTTAGATATGGATGTCAACTGAATTGTCGATATTGCACAATATCCGTATGTTTGCATATTCACGGATGCTACGTTTGTTGTGAGAGAACTGAATAAAATAGTCAAAAACTATTGGATGGGGCAATATATTAATTACAGCAGTGCTCCATAAGAAGTGAAAGATTTGTGGTGGAATGAGTTCAAGGTAAGTTTTAGATATTCTATTTTCTCACCAACTAAGTTCGGTGTAGTATATTGATGGTCAAGAATGATGTAAAGGGACCAGAACAACTCTTTAGTTTTCGGTACTAAAGGGACCAGATATTTTCCCCGAGATGAACTTTACAAAATCTATCACCGAATTGTCTGGTGCATGGTAATAGATATGTGACCATCATAATAACTTTCAGTTGTTTTTGTATTGATTGCAGCGGAAGTTCAGGGGGATGAAGAGGAAGAGAATGAAGTGGGAAGAATTTTTAAGAAAAAAGTCAGTGATCACATACGAAATGTGATGAATAGAGCGAAGATCAAGCAAGTGAAGCCGGCTTTCATTACAGCTGACAATTGGACGAAAATTAACAGAATTTGGGAAACTGAAAAGAATCAGCAAATTAGTGAGTAGAATAAAAAGAATCGATCTTCTAGTTCTAGTGAAGGGTCTGCCACATATGCTGGGGGCTCTATCAACATTGGGGAGCATCGAAAACGAATGGTAAGTCTGTTAAATAAGTTATAAGTTAATTTAATTCAATTACTCATGTTTACATTTTGTAGGCATATGAATTGGGGACGGAACCGACATTTGCAGCTACATTTGAACGCACATTTCAAAAAAAAGATAAGACATGGACTGGCGATCGAGCAAAAGCTATTAAGGTATGTAAGGTTATACTTTGGACTTTATGGAAACTAGAATGAAAACCGTGAATGCTTTTAATATTTATGGTAGTTATATATATGAAGTTATTTTATTTTCATCTATATTGTTAATGTAGGAAAAATATGATGAACTTTTAATGAGCAATGCTAGTGGTGGTGATGGTGTTGCTGCGTCTGAGCCATCAGTTGACAGTATGGCATTATGGGTGGAGGCAATGGGTGGAATGAAAAAAGGAAAAATATTTGAGATGGGATCCTTGTCAAGGGTATACACGACGAATCATGCTACAACTTCATCATCCAATGCGGCTGTTCCAAGGAGGACACGACTTGAGATGCAAATGACCCAAGAATTGAACCAACTGACAAATATACTTGTAGAGAAGGACGAAGAAATAAATGACTTGAAACAACAAATGCAAATCATTATGCGACACGTCAACCTCGATCACGATGAGGTTCCTCCTGTACCTCCTGCCAATCCAATAGGTGATGGGCGCAATGATGAGCGACACAATGATGCTGAGATTGCTGATGATGATGATGATTTTCTCGGTCCTTTCTAGTTAAAATTCCCAAAATCGGAGGTAAGCTTGCTTCACAATCTTTTGTGCCATAAGTGCAGTTTGCCCAATATGTTCCTGCCCTACAATTACTTTCTGTGCATAACTTTCTTACAACTAGGTTCTTTGCTTGCGAAAAACCGAAAATTTAGAGATCCTAGGATGACATGCTTGTTACAAAAAATCATGATATTTGAACATTGTAGAAATACATGCCTTAATTGACTTTGAGTCCTCTCTTCCTGGGAATTGGTGTTGGTAATTCACCTCTCTAAGTCATTAAATTGTTGAATGCTGTTTGGAGAAGGATCTAATTTTTCGTAGGTGACAGAAATACGGTTTACAAGGGTGAAAAAACTACAGTGGATGTCAAAGTTGACTCATATTCATATGTAAAAACATTGATGTTCGTCCTGAAACGTTTTTTTGTTAACCCTCCTACTTGTTTTTTTATACCTAGTTCCACATCCATGCATAAACGCTTCTTTTATATTCTGGACTGATTGAATATCTTTATTTATGTATCCACATTTCATCAGGTGTCGACAAAAGTAACTGCTTCTGGTGTCCTGCTGAGTACCAAAGTTGCCCAATCTTGTGTCTGGTTTGTCGATTTTTCGTTTTTGAAGTAGAATCTATGGTTGTCCCGCCTCCTTTGAATGTTTTGAATGTATTATAAGATTGGATATCAAATAGCATCATGTCAGACTTTGCAACTTTGCATATATCATTATTTTTTGCGGACTAGCATCTTTCCTTCAGTTATATTTTTCAATTATATGGCATTGTGTCTGGTTTGTTCGTTTTCTGTTTCTGAAGCGGAATCTATGGTTGTCTCGTGTCCTTTGATTGTTTTGAATGTATTACATGATCTTCATTAATGCGTAGCTATTGCTATGGACAAGATTTGATGGCCCAAATGGTGTATAATTTGCGACGAATATTTTAGCGACGAATTTTGCGACCAATACAGTTCGTGGCTAATTTGCGACGAATAAGTAGCGACGAATTTTGCGACCAATTTTGCGACGAATTTTCTGACGAATAAAGTTCGTGGCTAATTTGCGACGAATAAATTTTGCGACGAATAAAGTTCGTGGCTAATTTACGATAAATTTTGCGATGAATTAAGTTCGTGGCTAATTTGCGACGAATTTTGCGACGGATAAAGTTCGTGGCTATTTTGCGACGAATAAAGTTTGTGGCTAATTTGCGACGAATTTTGCGACGAATAAAGTTCGTGGCTAATTTGCGACGAATTATTTATGACGAATTTTGCGACGGATAATGTTCGTGGCTAATTTGCGACGAATTTTGCGATGAATAAAGTTCGTGGCTAATTCGCAACGAATTTTTTTCCGTCGCAAAATTTTGCAACGCCGAATTAGCGACGGAATTTTTTCCGTCGCTAATTTCGTCGCAAATTTGATTAGCGACGGATTTTGTCAAATTTTTCGTTGCAAAATTCGTCGCTAATCCTTTGTTTTTTTGTAGTGCTCCAACTAGCGATGATTTTAACCACTTGTTGCATCATTGACACAGCTCGGATGCCAGAGGACGGGTGGTTCACGAGAAGAGATCGAGTCAACGCTATCTGTATATGTGACTCGAGATCCTACGTTTGACTGGAAAATGAGATGTCTCCTCCCAGGTCGGGGAATATCAAGAGCAGGAGCCCTAGAATCTGCGATGTGCTGGCTATCATGAGGCCAAATCTGATGTATAAATAACATTCGGACGATTCGAGTAATGATTCTTCAATCCTTGATGGCAACACTTCAATAAGTGCGTGCATGTAGCCATCCATCCCATTTATGGTTTCAATTCATGCCCATTTATACGGCAACTAGCGTGAAGCAAATACACAACATTACGAAGGTGTAAGAAACATCTTATATCGAGCGTCTGCCATTCTCTCGAATAGATAAACATTTGGGTCGTGCCTTAGTGCTTGTCTTTCTAGGATATGGATTCCCGACCACAAAGATATCTAAGGAGAGTCCGAAACACGTGACTGTAACCTCAAAACAATAGGACTAAAGGCGTAAGATGACGTGAATTTTACATTGGTATTAGTATTGTTAACCTCCTCATCAATGAAATGATCCTATACAGCATCTGCTTTTCTATTCATCATGACACACACGTTTTAAAGGAAGATGGGTGATAGAAGATCCAATCGGAGTGGAAGCTTGTTCCAGCAAGCGATTTTCAGAACAAAGGTTCCACTATGATGATGCAGTTTTCGCACAAACAGACAAACTACCACTTTTCCCATGAATCTTGCTTCTTGCTAGAGTTGCCTGTCGGTCATGTCCCACGTTCTTTCTTTTTCGTTGTTTTTCGTTTTCTTTTTTTTTTCTTGTTCTGGGTATTAATTGCAGTATCTCTGCTTACTTTTTAATCTATGGTACCACAAGAGTACGTGGAGACATCTCATCTGATCTCAAGTCCGTGATTAATATTCAGGGTTCTTTGTTTACTTTCGTGAAGACGAATATTGCATGCAAGTGTATAGTGAGCTAGGCATTTATGTAGAATGAGACAAAAAAGAGTATATATAGCACTATCACTCACAATTTTATTCAGAAGGGAAGCAGGTAACAAAGGACAATAGATGGAGAGCAAATCTCACTGGAAACCCTGAACTCTAAGCACACACAAATGGACCGAAGGAAAGACTGAGAATTTGACAAGAGAAATTACATATGAGCGTGGAAAGGGAAACATCTAAGACACATGATAATCAAAGCCTGAGACCAACTCGAGATAGCACATGCACCCAGACACCGGACACATGAAGAGGGGCCTCGCGACGGATCAAGAGCGGTCTTGTACATGGAAGATGTTGGGATTATTGATGACAATGTTGTACATGTGGACGGTGCTGAACTTGGAGAAGTCGCGGGGGAGAGAGATAAGGTCATTGGAGTTGTGCTTGTGGAACTGTATGAGGTCGGCGTCTCCCCTGCCGTGGTACCTCTCCCATCCCAATCCTCTCAAAATTTGCTCCAACGAAGAGTAGGAAGATATCGCCTCCCCGCTTGGCAAGTGCACCAAGACCTTCCTACGGGGACTCGCCTGCCTCCCGTCCAACCCCTCCGCCTGCGGGTTCTTGACCAAACGGTACACTCCGTTCTCAAACACCCAAACCCCCGACATTCTCCCGCCCCGCAAGGTTTTTTTTTTCTTTTCTTTCTTTCTTTCTTTCCGGGGCGAAATAAGATGCTTTTCTTTAGATTGCAAGAGTGAGACTTATGTAGGACTGACTAGCTAGCTTCTTGCTGTACGTCGTAAATGGCGAGGGTGTAGGTGGGTTTATATAAGCATCGCAGGGCCACATAAAAACACACGATCTATTGCTCAATTGGAACTACAGAATTGTTTGTGTTTTTTTCTATAGAATCAAGATATCGTGGGTCCAAATGGGTTCAAATCAATTGATACATAGCGGGGCACACTTATTATTCCTCGGTCGGGATTGGGAGAATCTCATGCCGCGCGACTTTTCTCTTGCTCTAGGGAATTATTCTAGGAAATCTTTTTGGGGGAGATAAAATATATTAGTTAGGAAAAATGGGGAATTCACCCCACCCCCCAAAAGATTGACAATGAAGATTAAATGACGTGGCGGGAGCACCCACTCACGTCACGAGAAGTCCACGTGAAGATATTTGAAGGGATTTTTTTTTTTTTGGGGGGGGGGGGAATATTTTGAGTTTTGTTTGGTAAAGTGCTCAATGGTTTGGGAAGTACAAGGGGGGCATCTCGTGGATTCTTCGTTGGCTTCCTCATCGTTGGACACTACATAAAATGACGACAATAAAAGGTCCTAAAAAATTAGAAGTGGCCATCGCTCGTTTTTGTTTGTTTGTTTTGTTTTCGGGGAAATAGAGAATGGCTTTGTCTCGTCGAGAGATTCCATGAATAAGTAATACTAAGTGCAGTAGTAAAACTACTCTGAAATCGGTATTGCAGACTGCGTGTAGGCGTGTAAATACATAGATCGGATTTGCAGCCTCATTGAGAGTATGTCGCATCACTTAACATATCAATTCTTAAATCATTCTTAGAAACCTAGCACTAGGACTTAAGAAACATATAGTTTTTCCAAAAGTTTAAATTGTTAATAAAGAATAACAGTAAAAGAGGATATGATGAGTTCAATCCTTGATTTGTATTCTGATATCGTGTCAAACAATTTTTTTATTCCGAAAGCTTAAACCATTAGGAAATTAGAGCGTAGTATATGATTATCACATCTATTGACGTTTGTTAAGAGTTTTGGAGAGCTACGAAATGCATGTCCGCGCCATGCCGCCATCCGAAACTAACTTCTAGAGATGTACAATTTTTCTACTCTCTTTTACGCACGAGGGTTTCTTGGAGTAAAGCAAAACAACTCTTCCTATAGGATCTCTTGAGGATATAGATTCTCCTGCTTTACTACATTTTTATTCTTAACTAAAGTAACAGAGGATACAAACGGATCTGTCCATGATCTTAGCAGTTAATCAAGAAGAAAAGCTAATGTGAATACTCATACGCGGTCGCCATCAAGAAATTACATTCTGAAGCGTAGAGTCAAGTCCAAAAAGGAAGGGCATTCTCAGCAAGGACCACTCTTCACGTTGCAACGCCATTTCACACCTCTTTTATCCATTGTTCCCCGAGTTCAACAAGCTCCAGGCGTATGATACCCACGTGGGTCATTTGGTCCTCCACCTACAAACCTTCGAGCCATCATCGTTTTAGCCTACCCTCCTTCCATAGAGTATTATCCCCATGCATTAGGAGCTGAAAGCTTAGGTTCCATCTCATTTTTGTGGCGTGTGGTCCGTCGTACATGATCAGGGAAAAGAGACACCACGCCCCCCCCTCGTGCGGAGGAGTGACAGACGGCGTTCTTGCCTGGCCTTTAGCCATGCAGATGGGGCTCACCTTGCCTGGCCCTTGTTCCCTCTCAAGCCTGCATCATGGTCCTACACTCCTACACGCTCCTCTTGCAAGTTGATCTGTCCCTGTCGCGATCGCGCATCATGCACGTCCTCTCGTTTTGTGAACTTTCGAACTTCACTTGGACAACGACATGTTTTATGGCGTCATCGAGATGGGAGAAACTTTCCATTTTTGTCTCAACTGTGATTTCTACGTCCTTCCAGCGGATGGCATCCAGCAATCGCAATCGCCATTGTACCTAAGAAAGTATTTTCGCGCATTGATTACAAATCCGATGTGGTATCATTGAGCCAATTCGCAATGCCATTGTATGAACTCCCGAATGGGGTTTAAGAAAGGTCATTTCATTACATTGGGAGACTCGAGTGTCTCATATGTTCCAAGTAAAGACAAATGAGGACCCGAGAGACTGTGAATTTTCCCTTGATGGGATTTCATTAATAGAGATACATTCATACACAGTTTTAACAAATAAAAGTCAAGTGAAAACAGCTCAAACAACTTAGATAACAAACAAAATTAAATCAAATAAAGATAACTCAATATCAAATCAGTCATACGCGATTGTTATCGAAATCTTCTTATTTAGTTTCAGTATAGCCTGAGACTGAAATTGTGGGTAGCAAGAAGGGAACTGTTGCACAAAACTGGCTAGCAAACATGTTCACATTTTGAGTTTAGTCGTCTCCAAGAACCGCCCATGGGACTTAGATCCCTTTCATGTGGAGATAGAGCAGGGGTTTCTTTTCCTTGAAGTTAATTTATGTACATATGTGGTTTTGATGCATTCTTTCTTTTCTTACCAAAATTTAACATTGTACGAATTCGAATGAATTTGCAACATTTTGTTCGCTTCAAATTCCACTTGAACAGTCAGATTTGGAGGTGCACAAGAGAGAGGTGGCCGATACAAGAGGTTTCGTGAGAGAGAGAGACAGAATGGACCGGGTGCTAGGATTTATCCTTTTCTATTTACCTTGACCTATATTGCTTCCGATTAAACCGATTCGTTCGTTCGCCAGGAGATCAATGTTTGAGATGGCACGAGATGGACGTACACTTGTCCAAAATTGACCAATGAGAGCCAAGTACATGGGTTGTTGTTCTTTCGGATTATATCGGCCGTCAATTCATATTATATAGCAAAATCAACGGTTGCGAAATGGCCAGTCCCAAATGTGAATTAATTTTACTCGACTCAAATCTCAAAAAAAAAAAGTCTCTTAGTCTGGGGAAATTCCTCTTAATTTTATTAAAATTAAGCATTAACAAAACTAGGGGCAATGAAACATTTCGGATCATTACAAGCTCGTATCCATATAAAAGCCAAATACATATTATATATATCCAATGGATACATGCGTGAGGGAATGTTTGATAAAAGCATGCGATATTTAATTAGGGGATCGTTTTGCGTGAGGAATCAAGGAGAAAGTAGGCAGTATAAATTGAAGGGCGGTCCGAGAATGCCTTTCTGGAGTCGCCAAAGCAAAGCTTAAAGGATAGATAACACCAAAGTAATTACTACTTAGCCTAAGGCAGTCGGATCCACGCTATCTTGGATTGCCACAAGAGGCAACTTTTGCATGAGAAAAAAACTAATGCACCTCAACTTAGGGGGAATAATATCGCCAAAAGGGTTTCGAAAAAGGCAACTTTATGGGAATTGGGTATTACGCACTTAGCTAGATTTCCTTGCACATAATGATGATAATAATAATGCATGTTATATGCCATATTCCCATGCAAAAGGAGCACGTAAGTTTATGCCCATTGAGAATAGAAGCATCCATGCGTGTATCGTTAATTACTCGCAATTCAATAATTGTGGGATTCCCCATCTTCCGTAAGGGAGGGAGACATTCGTGCAGATTGATGGATCCAACAATATGTCTATTTTTTTTTTGTCGGAATATTACTTTCCATATCATATAGTTAAAGACGAAGAACAACCCGAACGGGCTTAAGTGGGTGGGATGTTATGTACCTTAATGACGGCTAAAGTGTTCCTCCTCCACCCACGTTTCTAATTACGTAAGACGCGACAGAGGAGGAGTCTAGAAAAGGGTCGGGCTGGTTCTTTACGTGCTGTACACCGTTTTATCGAAAGCTTAGATTGAGATTACATGGCGATCGGATTGGATTAAGATATGGGGGAGATACTCACCAACTAATAAAGTCGTTTCTTATTAAAATGGCTTTTCTAAGTAACGTGGGGAGTTTTAATTGTGTATTGAAATAAGTAGGATCCACGTGTTGAATCATCTGTTTTTCTTTGGTAATATCCAATAGAAATATTTGCCACGACTTAATAAGGGACTTTTAATAAGATCTTTTAGCATATGTAGCATTTTCCATTTGGGAACGACTAATAACACTTGGGGATAATGGCACAGGTGGCCATGTACTTCTATCCTTATATCAAAATCGTTGTTCTACTTTTGTTTTCAAAAGCATCCCTCTATTTTTTTTTAAAAAAAATTCAAATTAGTCATATCGTTATACATTTTCTTTTATCGGTCAATTTTTGTTGACATAAATGATCAAATTGTTGAATTGGGCGTCAGAGTATGAACGTTGTGTTATGATTCGCCCAAAATTATTATGTAACATCATGTCAGGAAACATGAAAATTAACACAAACAAAATTGAGAGAGAGAGAGAGAGAGGGGCCAGCATGGGCTCTCTAGCTTGTGGCCATAATGACAACTCGAGCTCTCGACTCATGGCCATGGCTACCGGATTTCAAGCTTGTGGCATAGCTGCTCAAGATTTGAGCTCGCTAACACCATGATGGCTTGAGCTCAAAGCAATCTGTCATGATCGCCACCAAATCAAGAGCTCATCATATCGGAGCTCACTGCTGCCATGGTCACGAGATCTCGAGCTCACATTCATGGCCAGGAATGGTGATCGTGAGTATTTACAAATAAGAGGTTTTATATTTTGCAAGGGTGTTCGACTTGGTGGATCTTCTATTAGGTTTGTTGGGGTTCTAAAAAGAAGAAAGTACAGAGAGAGAGAGAGAGAGAGAGAGAGAGAGATTTCAAACAAGGACAAAAAGTCTAGTCCAGATAAGCAAATCATTAGACATTAGCAAATTTTGTCATCGGAAACAAGAAAATATCGTGTACCTAAGTGAGTGATGCTATGTTAGCAAAATCATAGTCCACTCAGTAATGGACACATGTCGCCTGAGCCCA